CACACACACACACACAAAGGAATAAAAACAAAACACACACTTAAAGAATGTACATTTTTTAGAAAATGTGCTTCTGGATTTTGAATTTAAAGTGAAAGTTAAATGAAACACGCGGGATCAGGCATTCCTTTTTTTCTTTGTGTGCGTGTGTTGCAGGGTTTCTCTGCACTCAGACCTCAGTTGCTCCTGACTCGTTGTAATTCTATTGCTGTGTGTGTGCGTGTGTGTGTGTGTGTGTGTCTGCAGTAGTGATAGAGGAGAAGACTGGAAGGTTAGTTTTTAATCAATACAACTTGCTGACGCTGGGACTTTTCTACCTCGCTCTCTCTCTTCCTGTTTCTATCGGTGTCTCTCGGCCTCTCGCTTGCTCGCTGCACTGCAGCTCCTCCCTCTGTCCTGAGAAGACTCAGAAGATGAAACTCTCACAGGCCAGACAGAGTGTGTTTGTGTGTGTGTGTGTGTGGAGTAATGTTACCACGCAGTGGGTTGATGCTGACAGCTGTGATTCAGACTGTAGAAACTCATCACAGCGAAAGACGGAAGGCGATTTTAAAGGAGCAATCTGATGTTGTTTTTCCTTGTTTTTCATATTCTCAGCAATCTCAATGTGTTGTCCACCTTGGTACATCCCACTCTGTCTGTGGCTCTTAGCTTCAAGGAAGTAATTCATTGTGCAGCACAACAACCATCCTGAACATCCAGGGAAGTCTGTAAGACGCTCTAAAAGCTGTTCAAGACAATGTCTAAAACCAATCCAAAGTAACAAGTAAAACCAGTCTAAATCACCGTTCAGCACCAGTCTAAAAGCGGTGAAAAACCAGAGATATCGATAACATATTGATTAAGTATGACGGCTTATCGATCACTCAGAGAGAGAAGATTTCAGTGACAGTCACTCTGTGTCATCTGCCCGTCATTTGCTGCAGAGGAAGGTGTGCCTCAACCAAAGCTAATGCAACAGATCTCTTAGATTTCCCAATATAGAGGTATATAAAACCAGTTATCAACCAGAGCTGTGGAGCAAACAAGTATTAGCTTTGAAAAACCGTGTGAGGTACACGAGGAACTCAAGGGCAGTTTCAAAACAAATTTCCCACGTGTGGGACTAATAAAGGTTATCTTATCTTAAAAGCAAAAGGTGATGAAGACTATTTTCTTCTTTTCTTCCAACAGCGACCTTTCACCGTACGAATGTCCGATGTGGAGAAAAAGCCCTGATATCATGACAGTTTAACAAAAAGTCACTTGTGTCTTTGAGAGTCTAAAAAGTTCAAAAGAATCTCATTTCTGAAAAACTGGTACTAAAACATTTACACACACACCGTGATACCACAGCCAGCCATAACCTGATCAATACAAGTGTGTGTGTGTTTGTGTGGTAGGGTTTCATTGGAGGCGGTGAGGGTGCTTTCCCCTTTGTGTGTGTAGTCATCCACCGTCTCCGTGTCCGATTTGCAAGGTGAATCTAAAACACACACACACTCGTATTGAACACACACACGTATGCAGTGCAAACACCACACCCACATCATGACTCACTAAGTGAGTGTGTGAGTCTTGGAGAAGTGCTGACTCAGGACAAGGCAGAAACAGTAGCAATGATAGATTTAGAGAGATGGATGATAGACAAATATTCATTGAATAAAAAAGACAAGTTCAGAAGCCTGATGTGTGACCCCAGATGTCCGAGTCCTGGTGTCCTGATGTCTAAGTCCTGGTGTCAGAATCTTGGTATCTGAGTCCTGGTATCGGAGTCCTGTGGTCCAATTCCTAGTGTCCTGATGTTTGAGTCCTGGTGTTTGAGAACTGATGTCTGTCCTTATGTCCGAATCCTGATATCTGAGTCGTGGTGTCCAAACCCTGATGTTTGAGTCCTGGAGTCCTGTTGTGTGATTCCTGGTAATTGAGTCCACGTGCCTGAGTCCTGATGTCTGAATTACAGACATGATCAAAGTAGCTAAAATTACAGACTGTGAAATGTACTTGTGTCCCTTATGGCACAAATAAAAGCAGGATTTTCATGTAGGTCTTTGAGTTTTGCAGCTCGCTGTCATTTGCACAGCATCAGGTTTTTGTGAAAGCCTCTGACGTCTTAAAGATACAAGCTGTCCTTCAGAACGGGCTCATAAAAGACGTTAAAGAGGACCTGCTTTGCTCATTTACAGCTCCATAATATTTTTCTTGGATCTTTCCAGAGTAGCTTTGCATGATTCACAGCTCAAAATATCTTCCCCATCTTCTTCTGGCTTCAGCCTCTCAAGTTAGCTTTCATCTGATTGGCACCTGCCAAAGTGGGTGGGTGGGGCTTCTCTATGCAACATCATCCTGATGCTACAGTAGAAAAAGCTGTGATAACCTGAGTATGTAGATCTGGCTGAGCTCTGGGCTCGCAGAGATTGCTGTACACTGAGCTCAGTATCAGAAACTCTGATCGTGTTTGATGTGAACATTGACGACTGGAACAGCAGATATCTGACAGGAAATAAAAGAAAAGCAGAAAACGAGCACTTCAGAGTGCGTTTGTGGTTTCTGGGCTGGTTCTGGAGCTCCTGGGAGAGAACATGCTGTGGCTCTTCTGTACTTTTGTGTTTTGTCTTGCCTCGCAGTGATGCTGACAGCATGGCTCAGCACTGACTTTCTGACCCAGTGTCCCACCGCAAGTCCGTGTTCTACCTGATGTTGTGTGTGTGTATGTGTGTGTTAGTTTCGGCGTCTTCCCTCCATCCTTGTCACCATGGGCAACCACCACTCTGACCTGTGTGGGCATGACGCCCACTCTCACACAAAGACAACGCCAGCTGCCCCCCCTGTCCCCAACACACACACACACATATAAATGTAAACACACTCACACGTGTTTACATTCATGTGTGAGGACCTAATCCAGCCCAAGTGTGATGTTAAAGATGTTAAATCCTTCCTCATCATGTCCACCTCCACCCTAAAATATCACCACTTTCCTCCAAAACACCATCACATAACCCCCCCCAAAAATAATAAATCTCTTATTTAAAAAACATACATGCTGGCTTTAAAAACATGTCTTCTTCTCTACTGTGTTTAAACTCTCCAAACAACGTCCACATTTCCTAAAAAAGCTGTGAGTCGTTTTCCAAACCTGCTGAATCTGAAGCAGAAATAAAACTAAAAAAAGACCAAATTTTCTTTATTTTCCAACAAAACACAAAAATTCTCCTGGATATTTTTGTATTTTTCTGATGACTGACGGTTAAATTCATTCCCAGAAAGGAAACCTTTGGAGGAGAAGCTGCTCATCACTCGAGGAGCGCGACATCGTCCCCGAGAGACGGAGAAAGAATAAATAACACAAGTCTGTTTCTGGCAGCGGTGACAAACACCTGGCTCATGTCTTCACGAGAGAGAGTGTGTGTGTGTGCGCGCGCTGGTGTGTGACAGAGTCGATAAATCGACACCCTTGTTCACTGCGGGCCACCACACACACACACACCAAAGCGATCAAGCATGTCTGGATTGTCAACAGAGGACTCCCACCTCACTGTTTGTGTGTGCGTGCAGGATGAGTTAAGTCAAGGCTGCCCAATCGTTACTCTCTTCATAAATCAGCTGGCAAACAGACCCTGACCCCCCCCAAACACACACACACACACACACACACACACACACACACACACACACACACACACACACAGTATCCAATGAGGATACTGTGTTCACTAACCACCCGCCCTGCAGTAAATGATTCAGGCCTGAAGTGAAGCGCTGCTTCTTTCCCTGTTAATGTCTTTGTTTATAAATCCCAAAATCCTGTTCTCCGATTGGCTGATGGGTGTCTGACCTCTTTTTGCTTCCTCTAGTTTCACACTGACCAGCACAGGTACACCATGTGTGCGCAGCACGCTCTCATGCTGAAAATGAGGCCAGAAGATGCAGTTCCTCTGACATCCAGCAGAGGCTCCAGCAGTGAATTAGTCCCCATGGACTCCCATGTTAAAACTTTACAGCAGAAATAAACATGTTTATATGTTTGTAAACATGTTTGCAGCTGACAGACCTGTGTTTGTTGGTTACCTGTGGTTGCTGAGGGATGTTAAAGCCGGGGTCCCGAGGTCCGACGCTGACGAACCGCTGAGCTGGAGACGTGGTGGGGGTGGAGTAGGCTGCACAACAAACACACAGGCCCGTTATTAACACGTGATGACCTGACAGAGCTCTGATACACTGTAAATTCAATCTCCTTATCTCCTTAAATTCAGACCCAAATCAAGTTAGATTCAGAGGAACCTGATTTGAAAGTTTATATTTTCTACGCCGTTGTTAATAAAGTTTTGAAAGACTTGACAGAGTTATTTAGAAGAAGTAGGTCAGACAGATGACAAACACATCAAGCAAAAACATCAGTAATAAATACAAAGAAATTTCAGTGTCTCCATGTGTCGTTGATGAGTATTAGGAGGATTAAATATTTTGGCAGTGACTGCATCTGTTTTCGCCAAAAGACAGGAAGCGTCACTGAACCCTGCAGTCAGAAATAATCCAATCACAAATCACTTCTCACAGATTACACGAGAACTAAATATCAGATTAATAACTGAACCCTGATGCGTCGTTCCTTTTGTGTGGGGGCGTGACAGCCAGCAGGAAAATCCAGTTTAAACACGCAGAAGTGATGCGTGATGGTACTTAAATCTGCCGTGTGTGTGTGCGCGCACACTCACTGGGTGAGGTGGGTGAGTTTCCTCCTCCCTCAGTGGAGGAGGTGGAGGGCGGCTTGGCGTCAACAGGCAGTGGGACGGGACGGGCCATCGGAGGAGGCGGTGGGGGAGGCAGCATGGGCGTCGGCAGGAAAGGGTTGTGGACCTTTCCCTGGGAGCTACCATTAGGCTGAAGAGGTGGGGGGGACACAGTTAGAATATGTGTACGATATTCTGTAAAGAAACATCAACAGGTCGGTCACAGCTCGTCCTCTCAGTGTGTGTGTGTGTGTGTGTGAGAAAGAGAGAGAGAGACAGAGTGTCTGAGAGTGTGTGAGAGTGAGACTGTGTGACAGTGTGTGTGTGTGTGAGAGTGTGTGTGTGTTTGAAGGGATTTTTGAGATTCAAAATGTGGTTTTAGTGTCAGCGTTACAGTTAGGTTATGGTTTAGGGTAAGGGTTACCCCTGTAACCCCCCTGAGGGTTACAGGGGTAACCCTTACGCCCTTGGGCTGAACATGCAGCAAAAACTGCTGTGACAGACCTGCCTGGAAGTGAAGAACCATCTCTCACAAAGCATGAAATATCTGTCCTGTCAGTGCAGTAAAGACGTGCGTCTTTGCTTCCATCAGTCAGAAGGACATGTTGGTTTAATTTTGTTCTCATCCATAAAATGATGATCCAAAACACCTGTACACAGAATTCCTCCTGCTTTTAGCCCAAGAAGGATGTGCAGGTGCTTCAGTGTTAAATCAATGCTGCAGGTACGTCGCAAACACAAACCCTTCTGAAACCTTCCTGGAAACGCTGCTTTAACGCAGCCCAAACCACTGTGATTGGTCTGTTCAGTACCGACGAGTCCTCCTGAGCATTTCCAGCTACTTTTTCACTGCAATTATTGAATTTATCAGAACAATAATCAACACCTTAATACGAAGACTGACAGACAGCAGGGCGATAAGAGTGGATGTGAAGAAACATACAAAGAAGTGGGAAAAAAAGAAAGGGACAAATATGTTTGCCTTCAAAGAAAACTGACCATAACAAAGAGCAAGGACCCAGGAGGGATTCAAATCAGTAAGACACCGGGACACCTACTCAGCTCTACTCCTCAGGCGTGGAGCCATCTGATTGGCTGCTCTCCTCTGACTTTACTCTTTATTTACTGTGATTGGACTCTCTGATCAGTTTGACTGACTCCCTGAGGGACCGTAATGATATCCCCGCCTATGACGGGAACAACACAACATCGGGTAGTAAGACCTCTAAGCAGCATTTAGGAAAATCAGTTGTAATGGCTTGTGTATCCATCAGGGGGAGCAGGGTGGAGGCGCATTCATTTACAAGCTTGTTACACGAGACCTTTTCAATTTGTTCATAGATCCTAGAATTAGAAGAGAATCATAGCGTTGACCTTCAGTACTGATGAGTCCTGAGCATTTAAAGCTGCTTTTTCACTGCAATTATTGAATTTATTAGAATCCTGATGATGGATACATAAATAAAGACTTTAATAACACAGTTTGTTAAATATATTAACAGTAGTTTTACTAATAATGTCTGGATTTAAAGTGCAGTAAACTGCAGCTGTGAACCGCTTCTATTTTTTAACTCTCCTTCAGCGCTCTGCACATCTGTGATAAATCACTGCAGGAATTTTAGCGCCAACGTTTACAGACAGGTGAGCGAGAACGCAGACTGTGATTTGAACTCACGAACACGTGTGAGAACAGGAATCATTTTCTTTGTATATTCCCGGACTTTTCACTTTTCTCATTTTAGTGCTTGTTGTTCAACTGTCGTGCTCCGAGCCTCCTACAGACAAGCAGCAACCCCCCATCTCTGCGATGTTTGAACGCCACCGCCGTGTCCTTTAATAAATTTCATCACATAAGGTTGCATTTAGATTTTTACAAATGTTGAAATCCTGTTTTTAAAGTTTGTATACATAAAAATTATACCAGAGTGTAAATTAACAACATGCAGAAGTAATTTCTACTTGGTGCAATGACGTGACGGAACATGTATGTTTAGTTTAGTCAGGCCGCTCATTTAGAGAAACAGATTTCAGTGCAGCGCCGCGTACATGAAAACTCTGACATCAGAATATTACTCGTTTTATCTTGGAGTAACTGTGAAAGTGCGTCTCTCCTCTTTGAAACAAAGATTTTCAACAGAAACTGAAGATCAAACAGGAAAACCTTACATTTATTAAAATTTACACAGTAGTCTGCACTCCATTTCTTTGGCAGTCTTCTGATGTCCTGTTTTATGGAAGGCACCATGAGGTTGCTTTGTTTGTTTGCTTATGTCGCACATTTCCAAAGACATCATCCCAGCCCCTGGACAACTCAGCTGATAAGAGTTACACACCCATGCACATCCATCAAGGTAACACTATTCTGATAAACTTTCATAAACATCCCCATCTCAGGTACGAGGATGTCCAAAGGACAATTCTGGAACCATCATACAGCCTGGAGGGCAGGTGAAAGTCCGGCCTCTCTTATACAAACTATAGAGGAATTACATTTCGCTCAAGACTTTTGCACAACATGAGAGTTTAAAGAAATCTAAAGAATGAATGAGAATATTAAGCTGCAACTTAACAGAAACGATGAAGGATGCGCTTATAATTCAAACAGAGGTCTGAAGAGGCAACAGCCCAGCAAGCAACAGAATAAATGATAAATGAAGATGTACCAGTCTCAGAAATCACCTCCACATCTGGTTTGGGATCTATGAGGAAGCTTATTTCTTTTTTAATTTTTTTTATTTATTTATTAGATTAGATTGAAATGGATAAATGAAGAACTTTACTGGAAACAGTTTTAGTGATCTGCAGTATAAAACGTCTGGATGGCCAAATAGACTGTGAAGTTTTATCCTTTATTTTACATTTTTAAAAATTAAAGTTTTTATATTTTAATGGGTAAAGAGTTTTACAGCGACAGCTATCAAAGAATGTCAAATTCAATTCAGTTTTATTTAAAACAGTGGCCTCAGCGAGCTTTAGAGTATAAAGCAAAGACCCGACAATAAAAGTGAGAAAACCATCTGTAGCTAACGATCCAGGTCAAGGGTTTTTGGAAGAAAGCCCCATCTCTTGGTGACACTCTGCAATTAAGTGAAAGGGGCGTGTCTATAGTGGAAACACTCCTCCCAGCGGCTATATCTGTGTGCGTGTGAGGTTGTGAGTTTTTTTTTTTTGTCCCAAACATCGCATTTTAGAATTTAAGAAATTTGACATGATGGGTTTTAATTTTTTGAAATGCAAAGCTGACAAAGTGTTCAAACAGGACACGGGCTGCTTTCTTTTCCTGGTTTTTATCCAGGTTAAAAAACAAAACAAAATATGCTTTCAGTTTCCAACAAATTTCAGTGTGACTATCGCGCAATTTTAATCGGTTCTTAGTAACGATTAGAAAAAGATCAGCTGTTTCATCCAGTCGACACCAGGCAGAGAACGAGTGCTCGGGGGTTAAGGTTAAGTTAGAGGCGGCTCGGCCTTCCAATCGGGATCGCCCTGCAGTCGGGCCAACATGTAGGAAAAACGGAAAGCAGATGCTCTGTGTTTATGTTTGTGTGTCTGAGCCTGTGTGTGTGTGTCTGCCTGTGTGTGTGTGTGTGTGTGTGTGTGTGTGGAAGGTGTATTGATTCAGTGTCTAGACTTAGATATATCAACTATCTCACTGCAGTACAAAGGCCACACACACAGGCACACACACACACACACACACACACACACACACACACACACACACACACACACACACACACACACACTGCAGCACTTTTGCAAACAGATCCCACCTTTGCAGAGGCTGGAAAACCCAGCTCAGATGTGTTTGTGTGTGTGTACATGTGTGTGTGCGTGCATGTGTCTGTGTCTCTGTGCGTGCTTACGTTGAGGAAGCCCACCTGTCCGGCCTGCTGGGCGGAGTCAGGACAGACCAGCTGGACGAACTCCTTGAGCGTCTCCTGCGGGTGATACCTGATGGCTGGGTGGGAGAAGTAGGAGCCAGGCTGCTGCAGGATGGGGGAGGAGGAGAAGTGGAGGCTGGAAGGGGGAGCGTGGGGGCTCGCTGAGGGGGGAGAGAGAGAGGAAGAGATTAAATGATTAAAGGGAAGGAGAGTTGGGGGAGGAAGGTAGAGACATAATCATTGTGGGAAGCAAGGAGTTTATTAAGTTTATTAAGGGGGCGTGGCTTAACATGCAGATACATGACGATGGACACACAGAGCAGATGAACCAATGACAACAGGACACCCCAGCTGTCAATCACTACAGGTGTATGGAGGTGAGGCTACATCATTTACGTGGCTCCTCCTCTTCCTTCTCTCCTTCAGTCTAATTAAGGCTCTAATTGGTCTAATACTCTCTGATTGCTCGTTAGCGGATGAGGCCTCGTTAAGGCCTGTGATGTATGGAGGTCTGAGGAGAGTGCAGAGAAGATGCTGAGGGGGGAGCGAGGGAGATAGAGAGACATTAGAAATGACAGAGAGAGAGCGAGGGAGCGTAGGAAGGAGAGTTAAAGCTGCTGCACTAATTCACTTAAAGTCTGCTGTGATTTATCACTCTGACAATACACACTGACCGCCCGTGTGTGTGAGTATGTGTGTGTGTGTGTATGTGCTCTGTAGCAGTGTATTTACAGTAATCATTGGATGGATGGCTTTCTCTGCCCTCTCTCTTTCTCTTGTAACCACAGACACACACACGGGGACAGAGTGTGTGTACATTAATAGAAATGATCTCACTCAGTGTGCAGGCATGCTCAGCCACCTGTGTGTGTGTTTGATTTAGTTTGGTCCCACATCCTGTTTCTGGGATTTTTTTCCGATGCATTGTGCCAACTTCATTTATTTGATGGCCTCAGTGATCGACAGAGTAAACGAGTGGATCTCACACCCACAAACCAACTTCCAAAGATAAAAACACGCACGTTTCTCCTCAGATCCCCTCATTGGCTCCCTGTTAAATCCAGAATTTAAGATCCTGCTCCTGCTGAATAATCCGGACACATCTTATCTTAATGACCTTACAGTACCATATCACCCCATTAAAGCACTTCACTCTCAGACTGCAGGCTTACTTGTTGTTCCTAGAGTATTTTCAAGTAGAATAGGATGCAGAGCCTTCAGTTTTCAGGACCCTACTCTGTGGAACCAGCTTCCAGTTTGGATTCGGGAGACAGACACTATCTCTGCTTTTCAGATTAGTCTTCACACTTTCCTTTTTGCTAAAGCATAGATCAGGTGGCCAATCCAATCACAGCGTAAAATCAGCCCCCTTCCCACATCTCAGCGTCTATCTCAGCTGTAGGATGAAAGTGTGTGATTTCCCTGTCATCAGCTGAATCTGTGAACTTCTCTGATATCGATCTTCTCGTCTTTCTTCGGGCGAGACGGCAAAGCGGAGGATTTGCCTTCAGCGGCGCTGCAGCAGCGGTGTGTGTGGTATGTCGAACACAGAAGAAAGAGCTGGGATTAGTTCCACTTTGCAAATTGCCTCGCTTCACTACCTCAGACACCCCTCTCCTCCTCCTCCTCTCTCCCCTGCCAACTATTCCTTGAAGAAGATATTCTCCATCAGGAGGTGGATTGATAAACGATAAGAAGAAGGCAAAGAATTAAAATAGCAGAGTTCCTTCATTTTCACCACATGTGGAAGAATTTTAAAGGAGGTGAGGATGGAGAAAATACAGAAATACTCCATACTCCATCACTGGAGGTGCAGGGAGGGGGTGTGGAGGAAAGACCTTGATAAGAAAGACCCAAAGTGATCTTCAGACCATCCATCCATTTTCTTCTGCTTATCCGGGGCCGGGTCGTGGGGGCAGCAGCCCAAGCAGAGAAGCCCAGACCTCCCTCTCCCCAGCCACCTCCTCCAGCTTGTCCGGGGGAACACCAAGGCGTTCCCAAGCCAGCCGAGAGATATAATCTCCACCGTGTCCTGGGTCTGCCCCGGGGCCTCCTCCTGGTGGGACCTGCCCGGAAAACCTCGCCAAGGAGGCATCCTTGTCAGATGCCTGAACCACCTCAACTCAAAATCTCTCAGAGTTTGCTTCAACTCGTTCCTGCAGAGCTTTCACAATAAAAGACGTGACAGTGTTCGGTGTTGAGGCCTTTTAATTGGTAACAGATGAAATAATAAGAAGCTCGAAAAAGTGAAACATTTAACTTTCAGCAGCAAAATTGCAGGATTTCCTGCTGCCTACTAATCTTCGTCACAGCTCTGATGGCTGTTGCAGCTTTTAAAGATGGAATGTTTTCTTACATGTAATGTGACGACTTTATCGGCTCTCCTGCACAAACTTCACTGAGACCTGAACTACAAGCAAATCACACTAAATGTGAGGATTTCATTTCCTCATGTTGGACAAAGCATCACATGACGCATCGTTAAGGTGCGCCTGTGCTGCTCAGTAAATCAGATTATTTTATAACCCCTCTGCTTCCTGTTGTACTACACAGAAAGTTTGTCATCTTAAAAATCATTTTTTAGCTGATCTGTGAGTTTTCAGCTGCTCGCCAGATTAGATGGTAAAGTGATGAATGAGGATTATCTGCAGATTATTATTATGGAAAACACTTCTCAAGACTCAACAGCCGCACAGACACACACACACACACACACACACACACACACATAAGGAGGAAGTGTGTTTCTGTGGTAGATTATTTCAGCCAATCAGAAGACGAGAAAGGAGCAGGAGACAGGTTAGTGGTGGGTGGGTGGGACGTAAGAACAGGTGTGAGGTGGGAAGGATGCTCTCATAACACACACACACACACACACACACACACACACACACACACACACACACACACACACAGTGCCCTGCCTACAGCCTATAGGTGTGTGTCTACAGGTGCCTCCTCCTGACAAAACCCACAGAGACTGACGGGGGTGGGGGTGGGGTGAAGGAGGTGAGTGTGTGTGGTGGGAGGCGGGTGAGGGAGGTTTCTGGGGATGACCTCACCTCGAGGCCCGGTAATGACGGGCCGGTGATGGTGTGTGAAAGCCGTTCGGGGGGAAGAGGAGGAAGAAGAAGAGGAGGAGGTGGAGGAAGCGCCGCTCGGTGAAGGCGCAGTGCCGCAGAAACCGGACTTCTCTGACCTCTTTAGAGCGCTGGCGGGTGACGGCATCCCTGCCAAGAACCATGATGATCATGATGAGGAGGAGCGGGTCATGGCAGATTTGATTCTTTAAACACTTTTTATGCACCTCCAATGTGGGGAGGAGTTGGGAGGAGGGAGGTGGTGGTTTGGAGTGGGGCTTAGAGATCAGGGGCGGGGCTTGGAGATTGAGTCACAGGCTGCAGGTGTCAGAGAGTTTAGTGTGTCTGAGCCTTTTTAAGTTTTTAGATACCAGCAAAAAAGGACAACATGAGTAAAAATGATGACAAATAAAATGAAACACTAAAATATAAAAAAAGAACAAAAGCCTGAAATTTTATAAAAATAATAATATCGACATGAAAAGTGTGCAACAAAATATATAAATAAAAACACAGAAAACCAAATAAAAATGTGAAATTACATTATTTTATTCAGTTTTTTTAAAAACACAAGTTTATCTTTTATAGTTTAAGGAAAGGTTTCTCTGAGTGATGATCTAAAGCCCATCATTTATTTTTATTTCTTTGAGTGTCAGATGGGCCAGCCGGCAGCATTTTTTTATTCAAACATAAAAAGTCAGTTTTCTGAGAGACGAGAAACTCGGACATGCTGTTTCTCTTTCCTGTCAGCTCAGCAGTGTGAAACGCTATCAGCTGGGATAAAAACAAACATAACCTGGCTGCCGTTAATATCGAGACACACTTACATGTGATGATTTTTATTTGAAATATTTAATAAGCTTCAGCAGATGGGAACATCTTCCACATTACCATAGCTACCAGATAGACGCAGTTCAGGCTGAATTAGTTCATCACAGGAACAACAGTGATCATCTTCAATACAGCTTTTTAAAATATTTTATTTTTGGCCTTTATTACACAGTGGAGTGAAGAGTGACACGAGGGGGGGGGGAGACATGTGGCAAAGGGCCGCATGTCAGATTTGAACCCGGGCTGGCTGCTTTCTACATGCAATACTTTTATTGTAATGGAGTACTTTTACTCTGAAGTACTTTTACTGCAAATAAGGCTCTGCATGGCTGATTATCAGCACAAACACACGATTGTTCCACAGCTCGGAGACGAGCTGTGAACAGAGGGAACAACACAGATTGTGGTCTACCTGGAAGGGGTGGGGCTTGTAGTGACGGGCAGAGGTGCAGTAGGAGGAGGAAGAGGCAGAGGGGGTTGTTTGTTTGTGAGTGTGATGAAGGACTGAAGAGGTTTTGTCAGGTGGAACTGAGGCTGTTCAATGTCTTCTTCCTCATCCTGTTTCCACATCCATCCATCCATCCATCCAATCTATCAGTCATCCATGATTGATCCATCCATCGTCCATCCCTCCATCATTCATTATCCATCCACCCATCAATCATTCATCATCATCCATCCATGATGCATCCACCATTAATCATCCATCATTCATTCAAGATCCATCCATCCATCCATCCATCCGTGATCCATTATTCATCCATCCATCATCAACCCATCCATCATTCGTCATCCATCCATGATTTATCTATCTATGATGCATCCATCATTCATCCATCCTTCATCATCCATGATCCATCAATCCGTCACTGATTATGATTCATTCATTCATCATCCATTTAGCCATTATTTAATGTGTCCCAGTTAATAATTTAACCAAACATGTTATTTCAAATAAAAATCTGTAAAACATTACAAAATGAAAATGGAACAACACAATAAAATAAACATAAAAACCCACAACCATTTAATTAAATGTGGAGACCTTTAACGGGTCTCCACAGCAGATCGTCTGCCTCCATCATTCCCAGCATCCTCCTCTCTCACACCAATATGTCCTCCATCACTACATCCATGAACATCCTCTGAGGTCTTCCTCTTCTCTTTCTGCTTGGCAACTCCATCTTCATCCACCTTTGTCCAATACAACACAATCCAGAAACTGTTTGGTCTCTAGATAATATTGCCCTTCATAATAATTAGGGGTGTGGCCTCTTTGATTGACAGGTGAATTGTGACACAGGTGGCTGTAGCCGCTAGCTGTCTGCTCGGCTTCACCCGAACTTGACCTCTGGACTGTCATAATGACGTCAACTGACCAATAACTTGGCTGCTGTGAGGTTCCTGTACTAGCAGAGCGTCCAAAAAGGCGGAGCTCCAGGACTGCTGAGTGAAATTCAAGGGTTTTGATGTTACTGATTAGCAGTAAGTTAGAGCTCCACCCTCTCATCCAGCAGCCATTAGGCTGCCTCACACTGAAAACCAGTTTGAGTTACCTTCCATCTTTAATATACAATCTGTGGTTAGTTTTGGTCATTTATCAGATTCAAACGTCTCCTGATACACAAACTAACAACACCTTTACTCGTTACCATGTCACATATTCACATTCAACACACACACACACACACTCGCACACAGACACAAACTGTCCTGCTGTCCATCCAGCTGGTTTTCTCGTCCACAAACTAAACAAAATCGACGTGCCACAGTGACATCATCAGCATGCTGCCAGGTGAGTGGAGTTAGGGTTGGGTGGAGTGCGGTGGGGAGGTGAAGGAGGTTGAGGGGGGCACGAGACGGAAACTCAGACAAAAAGGAGGAGAAGGAGGAGGAGGCGGTTTCACAGACATGTAGACAGGAAGTGAGGAGGCGTGTTGACGTCTTTACCTTGTCGGGAGATGAAAGAGCTAGCTAGAGAGCCACGCAGCTTATATCCAGCTTTCCAACGCAAGACGGAGGAAAGGAAGAAAAGAAACGGAAAGGAAAAGTAGCATGAATACACCGGCCGAGAGAGGAAGAGGAGACAGGAAGAGGAAGGAACTCATAAATATAATCAGTGTATGCGTGTGTGTTTAAGAACATGGTTACCAAAATAAAACTACAAAATCTCTGAGTCTGCAAAAATGAAAGTAAAAAATAAAATAAACCAAAAATGCACTGGAACAATGTGAATGCAATGAACTGAATATAATAAATAATAACTGAGAATTAAAGCAATTTTCTATTTTTTCTAACGCAAATAAAAATAAAATATTTAAAAGTTTCCTTTGAGACAGCTAACCTATGATTTATAATTCAGTGTGAACCAGAGTGGACGTGCTTCTGTTGTAGCTGTAAACCTGCTTTAAAAATAGATTTGATTGTACTGAAATCATAGAAATACTCAACAGAAACCTAAACATCTCTGTAAAATGAATTTATATTAGGAAAGCAGTTTATTCTGCACATATCTTCCTGGACATTTTTGTTCCTTCAAAAGACAGAGCAGAGAGAGTGACAGGAAACAGCACAGAGAGAAGAACGACATGCAGCAGATGGTCGCTCGGCTGGGAATCGAACCGGGTACTCGCGGGGGTCTGCTCGAATTTCCAAAATATTATTAAAAAATGTTTTTTAAAGAAATAAAAAAAAAAAATGAAACATAGAGAACAGAAAGAAAATTTAAATACCTTCATAATAGCAATTATAAAAATATAATATTCTTATTCTAATATTATTAATAAACATTATATTTGATTGATATTCACATCTTTTAAATGCAAGAATAAAATTTTCTATCTAAATATTTTAATAAGTTCAATAACAATTACAGTATAGTTTTAACGAACATTAAAAATAAATAAATGATCAAGTAAAATTGAATTAAGAATAAAAACTAAAACATGTAACTGAATAAATTTCCAACCCATTTAACAAAAAACACCTGGCAAACAAAATATAAAATCATTCTAACCCATAAAAGCCACGCAAAAAATATCTATAAATATATTTGAAAAACGCAACATTCACTAAAATAAAATATCATAAAAATACTGAATAAAAATGTCAAAATGAACGTAAAGACTTTTTGTATTAAAATATATTTTATTTGACTGATATTTGTATATTTGTCAAATGCCAGATTATTATTTATATTATATCAAAACATTTGAAATTTAAATGTATAATTTGACTTCTCTATCTAGAAAAACCCACCAAAGAAATATTTAAAAATATGACGTAAAAATACAAAAATTAAAGGTAACTAAGGGTAACTAAACAAACTGCCTGACTGTTGAAAAAGTAATTAAAAGTGAAGAATGAATCGACTAATTTATAATAATCATAAGAAAATTAAAAAACATGGATTTCTTCTGAGCTGACAGTTTAATGACATATTAATGCGAATTAAAATTTTCCCCCCTTTCTCGGCTTCGTGAGGCTCACTGAACAGATTTGTGTCTCTGAACTGTTCAGATTCACACTGAGCTACACGGAGGCATGCTGGAGGTTGCTTCCTGTTTATGTGACTGTTTTGGATCTGATTCTGCAAGTGTGCAGGATCAGACCTGTGACGTCCTCTTTATGAGACAGGCAGTCGAGAGATCACACTCTCTGACAAAACATTAAAAAAAATCACTCTTACACACACACACACACACACACACACACACACACACACACACAC